CTTGGCCTCTTGGTCACACTTCCACTCCTCGTCCTCGTTCAGGGTCGGCAGGTAACCGGGCAGCCCTTTACCTGTCCCAGACCCTGAGCTTGGATCGCTATAAATTTTTGGACTTTCCCCACCTGTCCTCGTGTATTCCAAATAAATATCTGACTTAAGGAACAAAGGGTAGGTATTGTCTTCTATCATGCACTGGATCTCCGTTTGGGCCTGGTCAAACATGTCGGGGTCGATCTGCAGTTTCATGACGCAGTCTTTGATGAAGCTTTTTGTGGCCGGTTTGATCTGCCGGGACACGATACCGTTGTTGTCGAGGATGTATTTTTTGTAAATGGCTTTTGCCAGCTTGAGTCTTTTTTCCTCGTTAGACGCGCACGGCTCCAGCTTCCTGAAGCCGCTGCAGGCGAACCAGAAGTCCAGCAGATCCGCGCAGTCCTCCTGTTTCAGGAAAGTCCTGAAGAGATTGATACCGTCTTGATCGTCCAGCAAGGAGTGCAGCGACTCGGCCCACTTCAGGTAGGGTGGAGTTGGCGAAGCGCTCCCCTCGGGCTCGTACCCCAAATCCAAATCGGAGCGCCTGGGTGTTGCCGTGGACATCTCATTTCTGACCACATCGCTTTTGCCGGAGTAGAAACCGTGGCTAGCCGGCCTCGGATCCGTGGAGACGAGTTCCCCCTCCTCACCGGGAACCGGGGGCCTCGGAGCATCTTCGGTGAAGCTTCCTCCAAGGTCCAAGGGGAAGCCTTTCCCCTGGATATTCATTTTTCTGGTCCTCGCTGGCGCAGGAACGGTGGGGGATGAGCTCAGACCTCAAACGACCAATATCTGTAGCTCCAAGGTGAACAAGTCTGTTTGGCTGAAACAGATGAGAAAAAGATGAGTATTGGTGTAAATAAACCCTCTAAGATTACACAACGCTAATTTTGCCCTGCACCATTACTGTACTAATGCCTCTTTTTCAGCAGAATCAGTGGCAAAGCTCTTAGCAGCTTCAGAGAGCGCAGAACTGGGCTCAAACCAGGCACCCTCTAAAAACGACAGTAACGGAACACCCAGCACTCAACATCACCGATAGGGCTGGTGCTAAGCTAAAAGAGGGGCCAGTTTCCCAACATGGGTGGTTTTGCAGCACCCTGGGACCTGGCAATCCCAAGAGACCTACACTCATGTTCCAGGCGGTGCCACAGGAGACACGGCATCAACTCCTCCACACAGCCCACCAGGGACACCACACGCACCAGGTCATCCTAAGGCAGCAGGCTTTGATCTGCCTACCCGTGTAGGAAATCCGCTCCTCCAAACACGAATTCAAGGATTGTATGAAACATTTTGAAAGAATATCCAGCCAGTCCCCAAAGCAGGACTGCACCTTAATCAAACACAGGTGGCTTTCGTCCGCTGGGGTGACATACCAGCGCCACATTCCTCACAAAGCTCCGCGCTGCACAAATATGCTGCGTCGCCTGCTCTAGCTCTAGGGGAATCCAGATGCATCGCTGACCCCAATATTTTGGGCATCTGGACTGCATTCTTGCTTCAGATGGGCATGTTAGCACAGGAGCTCAGTTCTGGCACCGGCTTTTGCAGGCGAGCCGTTGAGAAAAGGTTCATTTACGCTAACGACGCCGCACGCTGCGAGCCTGGGAAAATCTCAGGGCATCAAAGGAAGAGGAGAAAACCACCTCCAGAAGGAAATCTGATCGAGTACAACATTTTAAAAGAAGAGCAACGAGTCAATATGGAGGATAGGAGGTGTGGGGAAGGAGGGGTAGGCAGAGAGAACAATCCCCTACTTCTGCTGCATGACCAGGTACCTTCCTCATTTAGAGACCGTAGCAAAAGTCCGTTCTGCAGAACAGCACCAGCCTCGAAGCCCCGAGCGCTGCAGAACACCAGCTGCCTCACAAATTACTCCTTGCACTGGGCTAACTCAATTGCATATGAAAATACACCAGGAAAGACACATTTCAGCTCAGTCTCCCTCTCGAAGCTTACCCCACCCTAGCAAACACATCTTTGGGATGCTCTTGCCATTTTCACCCCGTTCTCTCTCCTCGGCTGAGCCAAGCACCACTGCCTCTGCCGTGCCTGTCCTTACAGTCCACCTG